CAGGGTGTACTTCGGCAAAAGAGCACGACATTGGCGTTCTGCCAAATCCGCCCGTTTGTCTGAGGTGCCATACAGGTCCTAGAACAAGAGCACATTTCATTATATAAACCGACCAGAGCAGCTAATATACCAACCTGCAAATCCCAGATGACAGCTTGCTGGTTCTTTGAACCACACAGAAGATAATCTGCAGATGGTGAACATTGCAGCTGAAATGAAATTTGCAATAAATGAAGAAAACTTTCGGTCCGATACTGGAATTCTCCTTCATTTTCATCGCTTATTCAACTCGGTGGTCCGCTTTTCCGGCATGCCACCCTCTCTAAATCAATGCCTGATATGGATTAAATTCTGCATCGGGCTCGTTTAGGGTGATTATCAGGCACGAAATCGAGTTTTTTTTGCAGCAACTATTCGCGTAAGGAATTCGTACAGGCAGCCAAATTTCTCGACAGTTGCTTCACCTTGTTCTGCACACTCAAGGATTCGCTTGCGATCCGCGTACTTGACCCATTGAATCCACAACGACAATTGTGAACAGCTTTCGCAGCTCCAACGTACCCATCAAGGCCTCATGGAATAACAGGAACGTCCCTGACGATGAGACGGCACCTTATACCTATGCAGTTTCTAGCAGAGCCAAGCCTGTCCTTGTTCTTGAAGAGCAGATGGTCACTGAATCGCCAACTGCTTTCAAGCCGCTCAGTGCCTCTGAACTCTACAGGATCACCACATTTACTGCGGGCAACAGAGAAAATTTGTCTGCGCTGCAAGCTTCTACAAATATGTATGCAGAAGTGGCTCGAGAACGCGTCAACATTTAGCCTCGCAGCGCGAACCCTCCAAATGTCTTTTGGTCAGTTACTGTCCCCTTATTTGCTGTGCACCGGTGTCTTCCAAATATTGCAATCGCAAGGATTGCTGAGCGCGAATCAGCTCTAACGGACCTAACCACGAAATGGTGGCATGGATGGCCGTGGGTCAGCCTATCTAAGCTTGTCGCTTGCACTCGAAGACACCCTCAAATAAGGCTAGAAAATTACCTGCACATAAAACGATTCAATGGTCGCTCCGGTGAAATGTCGCACTGAAAAAAAGGAAAGCTAAACAATTCAATTCCGTAATAACTTCGTATAGCATACATTATACGTCAATCACACCCTGATTACTTACGCAACGAAGTATACTAACGTATCAGATGTGATTACATGATCGCAACCGCGATTCTGTCTGTGAATGCGAATTTTTCTCAAGCCTCTACAGTGCTACCAGGTGCCAGCCTCCCGAAAAGGTGATAAATCTTCCCGGCACACGCGCTGAAGTTATCAGCAAATTAATTACAGCAATAAAATAGCGAGCACTTCAAACACATTCTGGGCACTAATGCTACAAAATTGCGAGGTGCTAGATTTTTCTCCATAGTGTTCACTCTACCATTTATAAAAAAAACTTACGCGGCTTCGTATTACTGGTTAGAATACCGTACTCGTATACGCAATTATCTGTGACGGCTGCGAATAGTGAGCTGCCGAAACGGTCAAGGCAGATACTTGTGACTCCTGAAACATCCCGTAATTGAAAAATTGCAATTAATTATCGAAGTTAATCGATTTCAGTGACAGCCATAAGCTAGAAGAACATTAACAACAAATGTTTTGTAAACATTAAGGACAAATGAAGGATGTGAGAAGCACAAGCCATCCTAATCTTTGTTGACAAACGCAACAACGCATGATATCTCACCTACTACCATTGCTTTGTGACACCTAAATCTTCCGTCATAGAAAAGGGAAATGAAAATAAAAAGTTGAAAAGAAATAATGGCGCTGCCGCTATCACAATTGTTCACAAACAGTGAACGATCCACATCGACAATAACACTCATTTGGACTTCCCTACATGACAAAGAACCTGTCTGAGAATGGGTATTCCTCAAGAATGCGCCTCATAAATCATGAAAACTGGGAGGTTGTCCAAATCTCTGACAAGATTTCAGAAGGTGTTCAAAGTTATCAGCAAAGTTCACGAGCACATAGCAGCATTTCAAACGCAAAAATTGAGATGCTGAATAAATATTTACCTGCATCCTTGTTGGTGGGAACTTCCAATGTAGATAGAACTTGCCCCTCGTCTTTCACTGACATCCTTCCGCGTATCCCACAATCGGAGTCCACTGAAAACTGGTTTGGTGGACATTTTCATAGTGCTATATCTTACATCTTCGGAAGAGAGATTGTGTACGTCAGAAAGGAAGGGAAGAGATAGTAACTCATCAGGCTGGCTGTCACGTATCTCAAGGCAGGTGTCAGAATCTGCGAGTTGCGCGAGTGCAATCGCAAGTCGCAGAGGTCTGACACCTGCCTTGTTCCAACAGCTCACTACTACGATGTCAAATCGAGACAGGCATAGAAAGCAGTTACCTAATGCACACACTAACTGTTCCTTTTAAATTACAGCCATCATAAATGATCCATTATTTAGAAATCAATTAATGGAACAGATGAAAGTACGAAATATTGGAGAAATCGGTCAAAGTGGAGCGTCGGGATTTCAAATAAAACTTTAGCTCATAAAGAAAGATGCTGCTTCATTGGGTACCAAGAGACAGAAGCCGAGATTTCAACTGGCTAAATTTTTCATCGAGTCTTGAAGGTAACTGATTTGGTTTAGCCGCACACGCGTACCTCTTTCCACAAGACGATGCAGATACAAGGGTGTAATCGTTTGCGTAAAGCAGCGACTTGTGACACTTGTTGTTCGCCTTTCTCGAAACGATTAGACAGCGCGATACGCGTCTCCGTGTGCTGGGATTGAAAACTCTGAAAACTGTGAAATAATAGCTACTGAGGGGGTGTGACCATTTCGACTGCATTTCGACTGGATCCTCGGGACGTCAAACGAACACCTGGACGACCGCCGGCCCCCCGCCGCCCGATGGTCAGACTTCTTCACGAAAGCTCTGAACGAAAGGAATGAAGGACTCCGTGTCCCTCGAGCGAGGAGGGTCCACTGGACAACTCTTGCACGCGACAGGGACGAATGGAGACGTTGCTGGCGCCCGCTCGAGCAATTCGATGATCAACGGGACGACAGGTGATACAGGTGAACTAAGACACCACGGAGTGAACTTGCACGTGCTATTATCCTTCGTGATCTCCAACCCACTCTCCTCCCCTAACCACTGCTCCAATAATCTCGTCCAACTGGTACCAATTGGTATCCTATTGGCTTCTGCTCATGTTGTTTCACATACAGTGCTATGACTTTTTACATGCATCAAAGTTGGAACAGCTCTACCCATGCAAAGTTAAATGACACTCCCAGCAAAATTATTGCAATAAACGAGTTTCACTGAAATGTCTATTCAACCAATCGTCGCGGGATAGCCCAACTTATGGCTTTCAACCAACTATTAAAAATACTTGGACATCAGAAGGGTGAGTACTTTCGCTGAGCAAATTCACTAAGGAGTCGCTTCCAAAGAAAACTGTAGTATCAAGATACACTGGTGAAATTCTTGGACTTCAAATCGATTTGCGTTTGCCCGCTGGTGGTACTAGTACATCAACACGCATCTAATAAACCACCTATGTTTTCCTTTTCATCATGACTATTTGATTGCTGAATCCAGCTGTCCGGCTGTTTACATAGTACAAGGTTTCTAATTTTGAGGGAGAGTATTCTTGGAGCTAGATCATAGCACTTTGACCAATCAGCAAAGAGTTTTAAACTCAAATCAAATATCTCACTGTCACTCGCTCAGTAATCTTTCTAGCAATAAACATACCTTTGATGAGATGTGCATTCTTATACACATTGACTGATTTCTTCAGGAACTGTCCCTTGCTGTTGAAGTGAGCTTATCCTTGCGTCCCAAAGACGAATCTGTCCGTCCCTGCCTCCTGTTGCGAAAACATCTAAAACAAAGCACTACAGAGGAGGACAAACTTGAGCCAAAACGTTTTTTACGACTTACTACTGCATTGAGGGGCAAAGCAAGCGCTTCCGACAGACATTTCGTGGCCGAAGAACAACATAGATTCTTGTCTTTGTAAATCCCATAATCTTGAAGAATAGTAAATCAGAACCTTGTCCTGCAAGTCAATGTAGAGAGCTCTACTTACCGCACAGTTGTATCTCCAGGAGATAGAAAGCAGTTGATTTGGATTATTTGGCACACCCAACACGTCCATCACTGTGGCATCATGGGCAGGGAAACCTTTAAGATGAAAGAGTATCGAGGGTGAAAGGGTAGTGAAAGGGTTCGAACATAAAAGACCAAAGAAGGATTTAATAGGCGATAAAACGAACTTTGAAGAAGAACCGCTCGGGGACTGGGATCAGAGCCCGTTAAGGGAGCTACATCCACTATGCCTATGTTGCCTTCATCATCTCCGAGATAGAGAACCGTCTCCGAGTGAGGAGAAAAGCGACACACAACCCACGTGTACTGAAATTGGACAAATAAAAGTATAGAGTGAAAAAAAAACTATCTGCCTCCAACGGCACTCGAACCTGCAGTGCCCGAATGGGTGAGGTGCCCAAATTTTTATGCTTTGCCTCAGATTATTAGAACAAAGCTTCTCACTTTTAGTCACTATGGACGCCCATAAGTGAGCGCACGGTTCAGCTGCAGTGGCCCAAACATATTGACAAACCCAGGGGCTGAACAAAGACTCTCAGGTGCAAAGGCACGGAAGTGAAATTAGAGGAGCAAAAGGGCTACATAGGTGCATCCTACTCCCTACCTAATTCAGAAAGGACATAATCCTATGGGGATAAAAACGCTCTCCACAATAGAAAAGAGTTCTTGTAGATGCATTACGAATGCTAAACCATGGATCAGGATCCATGAGCAATTTGAACAAGAAAAAAGCATTCCGCTTTCATGGTATGAGATACTCTCGTCCAGCTCTAATAACAAGGACCAAGCACTCGGTGTTTGCCAAAGTAAATTTTTGGATGGCGCTTTCAAACAGGTTCACAGTGATATTTGCACAGCACCAACTACAACACACTGACTTGCGGGGAACCATGCATAGTAGCGCTTTAGCGCCCTCAGAAAAGACGATCTAACTTCGAACCCTGAGGGAAGGAACGTGCAATCGGTCTCTTAGTGCGCCGTTCAAGCTTTACGATTCTCGACAGCAGGCAATCCTCGCAATGGCACGCGATACTACGCAGTTAACTCCTACACGGAAATGCAGTCGAGCCTGCAAATGGTGTGAGCTAAGAAAGCAGAAGTGAGGAACCAAACTTAGGAGGGAGGGGGAGAGGCCAGTTGCCGACCTTTGCGCGACTGTCTGCGTCCTCTCATCGAGACGATATACACTCGCACATTAAATAATCTTCACACGTGTTATGTTATTAGCCCCATCCCCTCTGCTCCCCACTCCCTGAATTGCCTCCACTCCCCCTGGCTCTCGGATTCCTCGTTTCGCACTAAGGCCGATGTCAGACTTTATCGCGCGATTCGCTTCCAGCGATTCGCGCGATTCCCTACTAGCGATTGATTCACTGGCCGCGACGCGTCCGCAGAGGCTAGCAAATCGCGAATCTTTGATTGAGCCAATTGAGTGATTCACTGGCCGCGACGCGACCGCAGACGCTAGCGAATCGCGCGATTCGCAAAGTCTGACATCGGCCTAAAGAGCGTGGACAAGGTGTGCGCCGCGGCGCTCCCCCAACTTGCATACCAGTGAAGTGAGAACAAGCAATTAAAAAAGCTCCTATTTCGATACATCGCTTTTCGAGCTTCACGTATTTCTCTTATCAAAATCAAATTTTCCAAATAAAACGAAAAACATTGCAGCTGCAAAACTCACGTCAGTGGCAATTTCAGTTCCAGATACAGAAGTTCGAGCACAACCAACCGAGCGGTAAAATTCGAAGTGTCTTTGTCTCCGCTTGAAGTTTCTTATTGGATTCGCCGCCTTCACAAGGTCCATGCGAACCCTGTAACACTCAAATTCAGCCGACGTTCCTTCTTCGAAGCAAAAAAAAGCAGTAGTCCGAAAAAATCGCTTTCGACTTTTTCAAGCAGTGAACTGCCTAAGTTGAGAGAAAAATTAGGATGTATCAAAACTTATTCTTTGTTTCGGTCAGTCCCACCAACTACCAAAACTTTCGATTTACTGGCGTAATGTCTTCTATTTACAACCCCTAATCTCTTCTGAAGAAGCTTCCACGCTAAATAGAGCCAATGCGTTGCATTCCCTTCGCTCACATTCAGCTCCGGATACTCGCATTACATTGCCAAGAGGATAATGTTATTTTCTTACGATCGTCAAAAAGTCTTGGTTCGGATGACCGCTCGCTGATGGATTTTTCGGAAGGGCTCATGCTCTTACCTTAGCGCTGCCTTGATTCAACTCCTCACAAACCAGGTGATTCGACCCCCCCCCCTCATCATAAGCATTTTGCATATCAAACCTCAAAACAGACTTCCCCTAGATCTTTACGTAACACAGTTGCAGGAACGACACCTGCCTTGATTTACCGACGATGACAGCTTTCGAAAAAGCGCGTCGAGGGACCGGCAAAAAGCGAGAGGAGTGGAGATCTTCGGAGAGCCGCAGGACGTCAAACGTGGGTTGCGTCGCCAACGTTGACCGTAATCACACTGTAACTACTGAAGCGCACTCCGAGTATTGAAAGCCGAGATAAAAAGAAAATTTCAGATCAGAGATCACCGTACAAGTGCACATCATTGCATAGAGTTTTCGACGCTGATTTCAGCTACGACACCAATGTTGGCTCCGGGGCACTCTGAGAAAGGCCTCTAGGACTAAGCCTAGGCAGCAGGGACGAACTCCGGAGAATACGAAAATTGCTTCCGCACACCGGAGTTCCTCTCCTCTTCAAAAGCTTAGTCCTGAAACTGAGCGTTTCCGTGATCTTGACGCGATGTTCCGTGGTGCCCCCCGAGTCGCATTGACCCCATTTTTGAACTCGTGAACTACAGTGATGAAACGGGGAGAAGTGCGCCATTTTTTTAGTGTTTAGTTTGATATGAGCAGTAGGGCGCAATGAGCGTCCAAGGGGCGGGGGGGTCGTAGGAAGCTCTCCCTCCCCCCTTTAGAGGCACATTGAGCCTGAGGCAATTTCGGAAGGGATGAAAACTACTTACGCACATTGGAGACTCAGTCCTAAAACTGAACTTTTCCTTTTACTGACACAATGTTATGGGTTACTCCTGCCCCCCCCCCGGAGCCACATTGCGCCAGTAGTAGTACTGTGCCGGCTTGCTTGAAATATTGGACTCTCATCCGTGCCTAAGTAGCACGCACGCGTACGCGCGCGACAGCATCTGTTAAACACGTTTGTGCTTCAGAGCCATAGTAATCTAATGCTATTGTATTCCATATTGGATTTCGGGGGTCTCATCCAGTAAGGGGGGCATGTGGTGTGACAGTTCTTGCCGGCTACAGAAATTCCAATTTTTGCAAGGGGAGGGAATCCCCGGGGTGCGTGAACCATTTCGCTTAAACTTTTACACCCACCCCGGAGCTTCCCGCAGTGAAAAATGTTTCGCGCTGCAAAACGCGAGAAATCGCTCCTGGGGCGGTATTCAATCCTTCCCCCAGGGGGATATATCCCCCTCCTCTGATTCAATCCTCTGGGGGGACAAAAAAGGGTTGCGTCATAGGACCTAGCATACCTCTGTGTTCCTACCCTACGAACTGACGCACCACATGCCCCCCTACTGGGTGATACCCAATTTCGGCACTATAACCAGGTATAGGCGAAGTTCTGCAGGGCCAAAGCGCTGAGGAAAAAACTTTTCCTCAATTTTTCCCGGTGAAGGTTCAACGGATGAAACCACCCACGACATCAACAAGAAAGACTTTTGAAAGCAAGTTTTATAAGTACTGTGGTATCCAATAAATGTTTTCCAGCCCCCGCAGCATAGAAAAAGAATACTGAATTCAAAGAACAATAATATAACAATTAGTAACAGAAAGTAAATTGAAACTTGTCATTCCGCGCGTGTCATGATGGAGGCCGTCGGAGCTTCCCCCCGGGCCAATTGGAGTGGCGTTTTCCCAGGGCCTCGGCATGAATTACGTCATCGATGGAATCCCCAAGTATTGAAGTTCATCTTGTTTCTTAGAATCTTGCTGCCTAAATGAGCCGCAGGATATCACTGATTATAATTGGAGTATCTGCAAGGACGCAGTTGTTCATGGTTTCTGTAACAGGCAAAATTCTAAATTCACTCTTATGTGTTTTAAGACGGAAAACCAGCCATATAATATAGCAACGATGACAGCATCGGAGTCTCAAACGCGGAACTAATACATTTGAAGTCTTTTATAAACTAAGAGGTAGCTTTTCTGTATCATATTATATTTCATGAACTTGTCTTAACGATTTGGAATGCTGTGATTACTCTGGCTTTGTACCCTTTCAGTCTATCGACATGAAGGTATGAGTAAAAAGAGTCATTTTTGAACGTTCAATACAAAGAACGAAACAGGATGAATTTCCTAAAATCACACAACACGCACGGTTGATTAGGCGATGAAGTGGAGGTAATATATTTCCATCCAGTGCTATTAAACCTGGAGTAGGCCTTTATATGACCCCGCTTTTCTTTTATATCTGAACAAATGAAAGGTGTCCTTTCGATTTTGCATCTGGATAGGTATGATTTCGTATCATGAAAACAAAAGGCAGTGTATCCAATGATAATTCAGAATGAGGAATATCTTTGTCGTTTTCCTTAGATGAGGTAAAAGGCGCGGATAGGTGTGTTGAGATGTACAGAACACGGTTATCCATGCTACTTTTGCTTTTTTCGAGTCTCATCCAGTAAGGGGGGGCATGTAGTGTGACAATTCTTGTTGGCTACAGAATTTCCAAGTTTTGCTAAGGGAGGGAATACCCGGGTGCGTGACATTTCTTAACCTTTACCCACCCGCGCGCTTCCTCCCCAGCAAACAGGATTGCTTCACAGCAATATACTGCGCATCACATCCCCGCCCTTATGGTGAGTCGCCCTGCTTTTCGGTACCTTCTTTGAGGTCAAATCATTAGACTATTTAATTTATTTATTTAATACAAAATAAACGCGTGCTAGACAACGAATACGGAACCACACTGGACCATGAAACAAATATCTTATCGTTAAACATATCTTGTTCAGCCTTTGTAAGGTCCGTTAAGGTTTGCCCTGTACATGCCCCCTTGAGGCCTTCCTTCTTGTGACTCAACTTTTCCTGGGTGGCCCCCCTCTTTTTTAGGCTCTTCTTTGATCAGGAACTTCATGACGAGAGTCGTTGAATAGACATCAGTATAGCAGTTGCACAAGCTCAGAAGACCCTGGTGTTATCCCTCTTCCGGCCTGAAGCCGTGCAATTTTGCTTCGTTTTTTTTGTTCCGCCTTATCTCCTTTTTTGCCCACGGGCAATATCCCTTTTCCAGTTCACTCTGGCCGACGACTGTTGTATCATCCCGAAATCAGTGCTCGATATGATCAAAAGTGGAAGTTTCCAAAACGAATCTGCTGGCTTGAAATTTCTGCGCTCAAAGATCGCCGAGAGCATACTGTATTATAGTAAATATGCGACTTTACGCTGCTTTGCTGGGTAATTTTCTTCACAAGCCACTTTTTGATTATTCAGAGGATGTCAACATGTAATGTGAGTTATATGCGGGCGATATTCATCTGATCTGCTCATCCTCACACTTTACTCATACGTGGGACGAGGAGTCTTGTACGAATGATGTCTCATGGATATTGTAACATTTTCGTCGGCATAGAGAAATTGAAAAATCACAATCGAGATAAATAAACGCGGCAAAGTCCTTCCAACTTTTTGCGACCTCATAAGGCGGACCACATCTTCTAACAACGGGTAAATTCTTTATTTTTCTTAATATAGCTCCGAGTGTGGTTCACTAGAGCAGGGGCAGGGCGGCTTTTCGCGCTCATAACGCGCAACATTTTTTTGCTCTGTGAAGCGCAAGCTCCGGGCCACCGCCGACATAAAGTAGAAAATGTTCGCTGCTGCCAGTACGCCGTACAAAAATCGGACTCTCTGTCCTGGCGACCAATCACTTACACCTCAAATAAACTGGGCAGAATTTGTAGGAAGTAAAAGTTAGGGCATCATCGTCAATCCTTACCGTGATTGATCCTCGACACACACATTGCATACACCCGCCAGGCATCTCCTCTCATCTCACACACCATCATTGCTATTGGCAACACTCAACTCACAACAACTACGTCACAGCCGGCGAGGACGCGATGTCCATCGCGTTGCAATGCTCTGCGTGAGCGATTGGCTAAGCGACGAAAAGGACATCGCTTGTCGTCGTCGAATCAAAGAGTCGTGAAAGCCTAGATCTTACAGCTTGAGAACACACTGTGCAGTTAATTATGACAAACGTAAATAGGGCAAAAAAAATGTAATGTGAAATGGGAAAGGTTACGTCGTAAACGAATTAGGAACATGAATTGTGGTAGTTTCTGAACACCCTCACACTTCAACAAATGAAGACCCGAATCCACTCCTCACACCTCAGATCCTTAATCAAAAACGACCATCGCATCCCGTCAGCGTAGAGTAAACGATTGCACGAGCAATTCTGATGAAAACTGCAGAAGTGGAAATCCACGAAGGATGAAGATGTAAACATGACCCCGCCATTTCTCCATCCCCCGTTTTTTTATTGTTTCAGAATCCCTCTGCACATGGAGAACTCGGTGCTCTCGCAGCTTCTTTGGTCGATTGCCAGCCTAGTCGAAGTGTCCGTTGCAAGCAGGAATTTTGTCATTGCTGGTGGTGTAGTGCAGGACATTTTACATATTGTATCCAAGTTAGTCAAGCAGCAGCACCTTTGAGGAAACGATTCGTTGCCAGATTTCCTGGCAGAGGTTTCTTCGTCATTCTGAGACACCTAATTTCTAGGAACAAGAAGCTCGTGATCCTCCGGCATATAATGTTTCTCATTGCGGTTCTTTTCTCGGACATCCAAGAATTCACGCCCGATATCGTCGAGGTTCGTAACTTATACGAAAAGTCGCAGTGTTGTAGCAAGGTTTGAGGCCGGCTCAGCTTTAGGGTCAGCGCGAACGTTAGAAGCCACATCTTTCTTACAATTATGGGATCAAAGTCCTAAGCCGTTAGAGGGCGTTAGGTGTAATGGAAAATCTATTTGCCGTCTAATTTTCTTACGACCAGCTCATGCCAAGGCTGATTTCTAGTATTTTGCCTATATTCATCGGCTACCAGCTACGCTCTCCCCACACTTTTTCTTTATGATTGGAGTTATTTTCGAACTTCTTACCTCAATCACTTTCAGTTGCTTCCCCTTTTGCCTCTCGTCTGTCGTCAGCTATCTTCCGAAGACGTAACAATACAGTCGGATGCTGTTCGTGCTTGCATGCTCATGTCGGAAAACATAGATTTCTTTGGAGTAAGTTGCAAGATGTTCATCACGCAATAATTTTAACAGTTAGCCGGCTCTAATGACGGCTCGTGCTGTTTAGCCCATGGCTGATGCCGGTATCATGAGAAGATTAGCACAGATGACGTCGTCACGCTCATCAAATGTTATTTTCGGCGTGCTTCGGTCAATCGCAAACATCATCCAGGAAACGTCTTCTTTCACGAAAGGTTAGTTTGAGCGTTTCTAATTCTTTGAGTTTTCCTTATTTTCGGTTTTTTGGTATGTTAATTGTAGCATTATTGTGAGGTTGATTGTGTTTTTTTTCGTAACATCAAGATGCCCTAGCTTTGTAAACATCATGATCCAGTTTCTTAGTTGTTGTACTCGAATTTTCAGGTCAAGAGCTAGGTTTTTGATTCTCGCATTTGCGTTTTGCCAATATCCTCCCCCGAATTTCTCTATTTGTTATTATATTTTCTTTTTTTCGAACACGTTATCTTTTCATTCCACTACTTGATTGCCGTAAACTCCTTAGGAACTCTGTGACGCCTCTAGTTTGAGTCACCAGGAGAGTACGTGACGAATGGTCCAGTCGACTCTTACCACAGGGTTCACTCTAGGGGAGAATATAGTGCTGCTTGTGGGTATCAATAATGTCATGAACTCCTGAACAAAGCGTACCTTTGGCAAGGAATCGTCTTCAGCCTAACCCGCCAGGTCATATGTACCGAAAGTTATCAATATCCAAAAAGGTGCGAGACGGTAGTCAGTAGCCAACTTTCGGCATTTTTGCCACCTTGTTGTACACCCACACAAAAAAGGTTGAGATTTATGTGATTTTTTCCACGTTGTGGAAAGGGGGTATCATCTGAGTGATTTCCCCGAGCTTTGGACTTCACGCAGAAGGCAGCCTCCAGTAGAAGACCGTAGCTGATCAGCCGTCTGAAAAATGAGCTGGTGGACCAATATATGAATTTTCTAACTTCTTTATTTGCTATTAGTGTACTGCCCTTTATGATATCTTAGTGGACAACTCACAATCTCCTCTTATAGTAGGGCAATGAATTTTTATGTTTAGACTCTCATCCTGCTTGAGTGTTTGTGCTCCTTTTGTTTTCCTTTTTTTGAATTGTTATGTTTCAGTTGACGGTTCCTAGTTCGCATTTTGCAGTATTTTTTCTCGGCAGTTGACTGAAATGTAAAGGTGGAAAGATAAAGCTGCTCCTATTTAAGATATGGTTAACGAAGGCCTTCTAACCAATATTCTTCCTCTCATGTCACGCGGTGCAACAATGCGAGAAGCTTGCTTTCTGGTGAGCAACATTGCAGCCGAAGGTGGAGACATGTTGCAAGCAGTCCTGGATTCGGGCGTGCTCAAGGAAATCTCAAATTTGTTAGAAATGGCAGACTACGAAACGCGTAAGGAGGTGAGAGGGGTTTTCTTGTTTGTTCCTGGTTTCTATCCTTGAAAACAAATACAATGAGAAACCTACCTACTGTAAAAGGTACGGTAGCATGGAACTTTCTGTTGTTGTGGGTAAAGTTGAGGCAATGACACTGTAAAAGCGAGAACCTTGCGTGTCGCTGTGATTTTATATTAATGTAATTTCAGCAGGGTCGTAGACTCGAGCATTCTGCTTTCAAATAGACGGTATTGCCTGGGTACATGTAAAGAGTGAAGGAGGATGCGTCTGTGAAGACTGCGCTGAAAATTATTTTCTTAGAAATTGTTCAACATCGGTCATTCGAAGGTCAAAGATTTTGGTCTAATTTCAGGCATTTTACATAATGTATCATACGGCCATGTCGACTCGATCGTGCCATCTCGCAGCTCTCCTTGGAGCTGATTTACTCGCTCCACTTTGTGACTTTCTGACTGTTTTGGAGCATTCTCTTGTGGCTGACGTTATGGAGGCCCTTTCATCGTTGCTTGCTTATGGGGAAGAGCTCGCCATGGGATTAGCAGGTGAGACAGAGCACATGACTTTTCGAGAGGCGCTGTCAATTCCGTTAAATAGCTCTCATCTTTCATCGGCCTTAGGCCACCACATTCGCATAAAATTGGCGATAAAATCAAGACGTGAGGGTGCTTAATAGTCGCTCATCCGATTGGATGGGATGATCGATACGCATCGCGATCTTTATGATCCTTACAATCGGACGTCCGGCTATTAAAGCGCCCTGATCATTTCTGTAGTATGTTTGTCCTATATGCTCTTTTCTGACACGGCATTGCGCAAAGAATCAAGGATGACACGATCGCAGACTTGACGAATTCTTTTTTCCAGATTTTTTGAATCCTGTCGCTACTCGGATGGAAGAGTTGGGAGCCAAGGATAAACTGGAGTTCCTCTGTGATAGCCATTCGATGAACATACATGTGGCTGCTCATGAAATTCTGGAAAGGTTATTTTTCACAGAATTTCTTTTCCATGAATTTTCGTAGAATCTGTTCTATTTTTTGATGCATGGACCGTTGCGACTTACCTCCATTTGGGTAATTAAACCTGTTGTGAAGGAGTCAAGAGAACTCAGTTACTGGATCTAGATTGTGCAGGACTTTTTTTTATTTTCTATTATCGTGATGCTACTGAAAAATGTATTTTGGAACTGTTATTCGTATCTAATTAGAAATGGAACATTGTGGTCATACTTTGCAATCGTGTTGCAGTTCGATCTGCAATTCGAATGTAAAGTGGATACGTGTCGACCATGCGGTACTGCGATCGACACATCCACTCCACAAACTACAAAATCGCTGATCGCAAACTATGTTCA